AAAAAATATGGATTTATTCTTGTATAAAACATTACAGTTATTCCAAATAAAAAATCTGTGGGGGGGAAAAGTTGTGCTTGAATATTAGCGACCAAGCCAAGAAAACCTGCCTATGAACAGCAGATAATATAGCCGGTAGTTTATCAATTTTATAGTTACATATGAGAAGAAAATATAAATTGGGAATAAAGTTCCACAAAGACACTGGGTTCTTTCTAAACTGTTTAAGCCAATTGATCTTGAAGGTGTAACTTAAAGTACTGAAATCCAATATATTAAGACCCCCTTTATCATACGTGTTCATTACAACAGATTTTCTTATATAATGTATTGAATGCTTCCATAAAAAATTAAAGAGTAGCTGGTCAACACTTTTACCTAGTTTTGAGTCCAGAGGAACAGACTGAGCAACGTAAATAAGCCTTGAAAGGCCTTCTGCTTTTGTGAGAAGTACCCTCCCTCTCAAAGATAGATCCCTTTGTAGCCACTGGTTAAATCTTTTCTGTGTTTTATCAATAAGGGGTTGGTAATTAAGATTACATCTTTCTTTCTGATCCTTAGTAATTAATACACCTAGATAACAATTTTTTTCTTTCACTGGGATAATATGGACAGAGGATTCATTACAGTCTTTAATAGCAAAAAGTTCACACTTTTGAATATTTAAGCATAAACCTGAGGCTTTAGAAAATGAATCAATAATATTTATTCCAAGTGAAATCTGCCTGGCATCTTTAAGAAAAAGGGTTGTGTCGTCAGCAAGCTGACTGATAATCACCTCTCTTTCAGCAATAGCTACCCCTTTTAAACTGCTGGCTTTTATATGAGAACAAAAAATCTGAGCTGCAAGAAGAAAAAGGTAAGGGGAAATAGGACAGATCTGCCGAATGCCCCTCAATAATTCAAAACGACGAGTTGTTCCATGTTTTAAAATAACTGAACTACTACCGTTCATATTCAAAGTTTTAATGGCACTACAAAAAAAATGTCCAAATCCAAACTTTTCGAGACACTGAAGAATAAAATTATGTTCCAAAGTGTCGAACGCTTTATAGAAATCCAGAAAGAGAAGAAAGCTATCATCACTAATCAAATTGGAGTAATCTAAGATATCAAAAACTAAATGTATATTATTTGAGATATGTCTATTGTTAAGAAAACCAGACTGTGCCTCATCTATTATAGAATTTAAAACATTTTTAATTCTTTTAGATAATGTAAGAGCCAGGATTTTATAATCGTTATTTAATAAACTTATTGGGCGCCAATTTTCAATCAAAAGTAAATCTTTTTTTGGTTTGGGTATGAGGGTTATTATTCCTTGAGATAAACTAGGAGGAAGTTTATGGGTTTTGATACTCTCAATGAAGACATTTAAAAGGAAAGGGGCAAGAATATCTGAGAATTGTTTATAGAATTCTGCTGCAATGCCATCATTGCCAGGTGATTTGTTACATTTAAGATGTTTGATAGCATCAACTACTTCTTCTAAGACTATATCTTGATCACAGCATTCTTTCTCTAAAGCACTAATTGTATTAGTATTTTTAAGTGTCATGTAATTTGTAGACGGTCCCTCTGAAGGTAATGACGTCACACCATTCCATAGGCATGAACGTGTTTTTCAGCCTTTTAAAAACATCGAATTCTGCTTAAAAATGGATTGTAGATACTGCTCATTATAGTCGGTAATGAAAATTAATTGTAAGTATCCTTTTTAAATGCATATTAACAAAACTATTGGACACGGAAGGGCCGAATGTGCGAATATAAAACCAACTTTACCAAAGTCACCTCACCAAGGGAGCGAAATCAGACCAGAAAAAGGCTTACCAAAACAAAGTTACTGGGTTAATCTTTTTCACGTTTCCTTGGTTGGTAGATGCACCGGGTACCTGATTATAGCACTTAAAACCTGGCAAAGTCAGATTTTCATGATATGTCACCTTTAAGTACAAATCCCATTGCTATGCTTATAGCAATTTCACAACTCAACCCGCCCATTTGGAATGATTGGCAGCCTCACCAACCAATGACTTGGGTACCTTAAATTCAACTGACCAATCAGCTTCTCAAGGGCAGGAAACCAGCGTTTCATAAGGGGTTGCGATCAGTCATGTTTCATAAACAAAACAGAGAACACCGTTTAACTGTCACACTGATTACAGAAGAGTCTCAGCGGCAGAGAGGAGTTTCTGATGTAACGTTATTCTTTGAATGAAGAAGTAAGTCTGCGATCTGTTTGCATTGTTTGTAGGCCTACAAGTGAGCTGTAAGCAGACCGGTAGCTGTCCAAGGTGATCAGCAGTGTGACTTATTTGAGCTGTCATGAGTTTCGTCTTGAATTTTGATGTTGGCGTTAACTAATTATGCTTGTCTACAATTAGTCTTATCATGCGGACTTATGTTCGTTAATTAATTGTCTGTTTTTCTCTTGGCTTTGCAGTACACACTTTCCTCGACACTATGAAGAGACTGTACTTCATCGAGCCGATCGTAGCGATTTACGCGTTTGCCAGTTTTATGGTGTATCCCCTCGCGCAGCAGTACGTGTATCGCAGATTGTGGCTGGAGATCACAAACTCATCTTACCCCGTGTCCGCCAACACTTCCCAGTGCGCCGCCAACAGCACCAGCCACAGCAGACAGCGAGATGTGAGTAATGCCTACGTGTGTCATATTACACAAACACATCTACATCACATATATTTGCTTATAAATTAACTTCATTGCATTTTATATATATATATATATATACACACACACACACACATATATATATATATATATATATATATAAATATAATGTTTTTTTAAAAACATTTTTTACTGGTCGTATGAATCAGTTGCACTTGTGTAATATTCAGTTCCTGTGAAAAACTGTTCCAGTGGGTGGAGTAAACATGAATATTCATTAATTCCCATATTGTGGGCGTGTCCTTGAGACAACACGCAAACGAATGAAACTAAAAATATTAGAGCATGCTCTTCAAATCGCAACTTGTTTAATGGATTATTTCGAAAAGGTAACGAAGTTTCAATTGACCAATTAACTGCAACAGTGTCAAAACAATGCATACGTTTGTGTAATGTGACAAATCGTCCATATATCGTCCATTGTCCAGCTTGATTGATTACAGGCACACAGCAGAGCAAACAAGCGAATAACCTGTGCTAAACCAGGCTAATATAGTTTTTACTCTTTGATGTGCTAAGTTTTTGATTTCATTTGTGAGACTAATTTTTGTTTGAATAGTTTGATTAGTAGCCTCCCTAGTTATCATTGGTGACTAGTACTGCAGTGTGCTTACAACAGTGCTTGAAATAAACCTCTACAAATGTATCTGTGGCCTAATAAAATGTATATAAGTTAGTCTGTTTGAGTATGCAGTGTCATTCTTAATTTCTTGTGTATTTTGTATGTTGCCAGTGTTTCTGTTACCTATATATAGCTACATACCTACTGATAATTTTTGTTGCAGTTAAAATGCTAATCATTATAACAAAAATTGCAGTTTGGAATTGATTAAATAATACAGTGCATAAACCTTTAAAGGACTGTTATGATGGCACATTCTTCTTGGACATAGGTCAGCAGCTACTCCCAAGAATATTATTTTATTTTTATTTTAAGAAATCATACATATGTCATCATCACCAATGTCATAATATGGCTTTGTTTTGCTTTTGTGATGTTTCCACATATATTGAATTTCTTGTGTATTTTGTATGTTGCCAGTGTTTCTGTTACCTATATATAGCTACATACCTACTGATATTTTTTTGTTGCAGTTAAAATGCTAATCATTATAACAAAAATTGCAGTTTGGAATTGATTAAATAATACAGTGCATAAACCTTTAAAGGACTGTTATGATGGCACATTCTTCTTGGACATAGGTCAGCAGCTACTCCCAAGAATATTATTTTATTTTTATTTTAAGAAATCATACATATGTCATCATCACCAATGTCATAATATGGCTTTGTTTTGCTTTTGTGATGTTTCCACATATATTGATCATCGTGTAAAGTCACTGGTTCAGATTGGATGTAAGAGCCACTGGTAGCTGATCACTGTGTGAACTGGAAATACGTGGAGGCTGTTTTAATAATCATCTCAGACTCCAGACACTCACTTAATTTTGTATTGCTTTATCCCACATGCACATATTGTTTTGAAAGTTTCCTTGTCTTTTCAGTTTGAGTTATATTCATAAAGCAATTACTTCCGTACTTGCCATTTAATGAATGTAACGAATATTTATATAATCTACAATATAATTTTTATGTTTTTAATTTGCTATAAAGAGTCAAAATAAAAGACTATAAAAGATAACATTTTATTTGTTAACCTGCATGTCATGTTGCTATTAACCGACATCAGAGAACTGTGAACATGAAAGTGTGTTCTATACTATATACTAACTTTAATTAATCTTAGAAGATATTACTCTCAGGAGGAGTTGGGAGAACAGAGTTTGGCTGACAAAAATGTTTGGGAATCCCTGTCCAACAATGTTGAAGATCAGAAATGGTTTCATTGTACAGTATATACTTGAAAAATTAGAAAAACACTTTTGAATGAGATTTTCAAATAGTAAGCATGATTAACACAACACTGTGGATCATGACAATTTGGATGCTTTTACACACCATTCTTAAACATATGACATGAAAGTAGGTTGTTTTTCAGTGCAACATATAGTCAAAGAACAGACACATTTTAAAAGGACAGTTCATTCAAAAATAAAAACATGTTGTTTCAAGGTTGTATGACTCATTCTTCTGTAGAAGACACTTTGAGAAATAATGACAGAGTTGTCATTTTTGGGTGCACTTATACCTTTAATCTATTATTGCTTGGAGATTGGTGATTCCCAAACAGGCGAATGTGGAAAGATTTTGATGTTTTTTTTTTAAACAAATAAAAAAAGCTTAAAAATATTAATAATAAAAAGGAAATATGTGACATATTTGCACATTTACTTGTAAGACATAAATAATTCTACATGATATCCAGTAAAATATGAAGAAGAAAAAAAGAACAGGATACTCACACCAGTTTTGCTTATATACATTTTATTAGGCCACAGATACATTTGTAGAGGTTTATTTCAAGCACTGTTGTAAGCACACTGCAGTACTAGTCACCCATGATAACTAGGGAGGCTACTAATCAAACAAAAATTAGTCTCACAAATGAAATAAAAAGCTTAACACATCAAAGAGTAAAAACTATATTAGCCTGGTTTAGCACAGGTTATTCGCTTGTTTGCTCTGCTGTGTGCCTGTAATCAAGCAGGCTGAACAGCTCAGATGATTTATCATATAACACAAACTATGCATTGTTTTGACACTGTTGCAGTTAATTCTTCACATTGAAACTTCGTTATCTTTTCGAAATAGTGCACACTCTTCAACTCACTTTAATTGATTATTTTCATTTCCATTCGTTTGCGCGTTGTCTCAAGGACACGCCCACAATATGAGAAGCAATGAATATTAATGTGAACTCCACCCACTGGGACAGTTTTTCACAGGAACTGAATATTACACAACACCCTCAAGTTCACACAGGTGTCTAGCTGAGTAGCCACAGGTTCATCGCATTAACCGTGTTAGTATTGTCATGTCCACTTTTTAAGTTTTTTTTTTTTTCCAAAGATAAAATCTGCTAAAAAATATAGGTATTCTCAGGTTTTGGTGTTTGTGCTTATTTCCAGAATACATTTCTTTGTGTGTATTTGGGTTTATTTAGGCCACTTGTGGGCTTGTTTTGTCAGACTAGTTTTTCTTGTGATATCTGGCAACACAGGTTATTTATTTATTTGATCAAAATATTTGTGACTATAATTTCCAGTATTTTGATGAACATTTTTTGAAAAAAATATTTTTTATTATTAAGATTTACTATATATACACCATATTTACCAAATAGGCCTATTATGTATGACATTAAATTTACAATACATGACAGAAAAAAAGCAGAAAGTTGGTATATTCAAGTAGGCTACAAAATACTAAAGAAATGTAATAATCCAATGTAAACTAAAACCTCACATGTCTTCAGTTTATGAAATTAATAAACCGATATGACTGACAAATTATGCATGATCACTGCATAATGTGACTTTTTGTAATGTTTAGCTTGAAAAGTATGTTTGTGCTATCTTTCTTATACATTTTTTTTATTTGATATTATCCTATTGTTATTTTTGTATAATTGTTATCCAGTGACATTCATACATTTTAAATATGGCAAAGGACCAAAAATAAAATTAGTTAAACAATTCAAAGCGAATAAATTCAATTAATTTCCGTATCTATTGTAAATGTGTGGATTTAATTCTCTGGAGTACTTCATTCTGATTGGTCCATTGCTGAACTCAGCAGTTTATATTACTCGGATAGCATAAAAATGTCTAAATTATGATTTTTGTCTATGGCAACATTATTTAACAGACCATTCATCCGGGAAACCATGTTTCCTCTGCTGGTGTTCTGTCTCTAGAAAGACAGAACACTAATAAGTAAGTAAATACTTAATAAGTAAACCTATAACTCATGAAATCAACGTTTCATTTCTATGTTTGTATGATCTACTTAGGAAGTGTGTAATAAATGGGATAATATACAGTCAGTATTGATCACCCCTGTTAGGGTTTGTTTTAAATCCCTTAAATATAGTGTGAATTAGACCTGTTTTTTAGAAAGCACTCCACAGTAGTAAAGTTTTGGTCATCAATACATAAACACATCTGTGTTTCATTTTCTCTTTCTTTTTTTTGTGTCTTTTTATAAGTTTTCTCATTTGTACCAGGAATTGCAACAAACGTCATAAGATACATATGTAATAAGTAAACCTATAACTCATGAAATCAACATTTCATTTCTATGTTTGTATGATCTACTTAGGAAGTGTGTAATAAATGGGATAATATACAGTCAGTATTGATCATCCCTGTTAGGGTTTGTTTTAAATCCCTTAAATATAGTGTGAATTAGATCTGTTTTTTAGAAAGCACTCCACAGTAGTAAAGTTTTGGTCATCAATACATAAGGAAACACATCTGTGTTTCATTTTCTCTTTCTTTTTTTTGTGTCTTTTTATAAGTTTTCTCATTTGTACCAGGAATTGCAACAAACGTCATAAGATACATATGCAGCAACAGTTTTGTTATGCACATCTGTTTCATTTCTTTTGCTCTATTTTTCAGGAGGTACAGAAAGCAGCTTCTCTGTTCTCCATGTACAGTGATTTGTCTTCCATGATCCCCAGTCTCATAGTGACCCTCCTCCTGGTGGCCTACAGCGATCAGCGTGGCCGAAAGATCACTATTATTATGCCCCTCATTGGGTCTCTGATCTATATGCTTTCATTCCTGGCGGTCTCCTTCTTCGAGCTCAACCTCTACCTTCTCATTGCCGCCAGTTTCGTAAGTGCCCTCTTTGGGGGTATCGGTACCATGCTAGGTGGCTGCTTCTCCTATGTGGCCGATTTGTGTGAGGACAGCAAGCAGAAGACCCTTCGCATGGCTGTGGTGGACATGATGATCGGCTTGTTGGCCGGTGTGGCGTCAATCTCCACGGGCTACTTCCTGCATGCAGTCGGGTTCAACTGGCCTTTCTTTATATCCGCCGTATTTCAGGCAGTTAACTTAATATACGCTGTCTTCATTCTGGAAGAAACCAGGGTGATTGACCGGTCAGAGACTGTGGCTTGTTGTCGGGCCATGCAGAAACTAGCTTGTAGTATCTGCAACTTGTTTGTGGGAGGCAGCAGTCAAAGAAAATGGGTTCTTGTGCTGTTGATTGTCACATTCTCCTCCTTATCTTTTGTTAATACGGGGGGTCTGTCCATGATCATACTTTACGAGCTCAATGAGCCGCTGTGCTGGAGCGAGATCCTCATCGGCTATGGCGCCGCGGCCAGCACCTCCATCTTTATCACTAGTTTTGTCGGTGTGTATTTGTTCTCCCGCTGTCTGCCTAACATTGCCATCGCCTTCATCGGGATGCTGTCAGTCGCTATAAGCATGTTCATGACGGCCTTCGCAAAGACCCCCCTCATGATGTTCCTCGGTGAGCATGAACATTCCCAGTCATTTTAGATTTTTTTTTTCTTATATTACTATTAATTTATAATAAATAGGGTACCACATTTACCATATTATATATATGACTCTAGATGTACAATAGTCATACATGACAGGAAAAATCTAGTTTTTTCAAATAGCAAAATTAATATAAATTTTTAGTTTTCTACATTATCCTAAATTCACTTGTTGTATTAAAAACAAGTTAGTTTAGATTATATTGTTTTATGTTTTTAATTTGCTATAAAGAGTCAAAATAAAAGACTATAAAAGATAACATTTTATTTGTTAACCTGCATGTCATGTTGCTATTAACCGACATCAGAGAACTGTGAACATGAAAGTGTGTTCTATACTATATACTAACTTTAATTAATCTTAGAAGATATTACTCTCAGGAGGAGTTGGGAGAACAGAGTTTGGCTGACAAAAATGTTTGGGAATCCCTGTCCAACAATGTTGAAGATCAGAAATGGTTTCATTGTACAGTATATACTTGAAAAATTTGAAAAACACTTTTGAATGAGATTTTCAAATAGTAAGCATGATTAACACAACACTGTGGATCATGACAATTTGGATGCTTTTACACACCATTCTTAAACATATGACATGAAAGTAGGTTGTTTTTCAGTGCAACATATAGTCAAAGAACAGACACATTTTAAAAGGACAGTTCATTCAAAAATAAAAACATGTTGTTTCAAGGTTGTATGACTCATTCTTCTGTAGAAGACACTTTGAGAAATAATGACAGAGTTGTCATTTTTGGGTGCACTTATACCTTTAATCTATTATTGCTTGGAGATTGGTGATTCCCAAACAGGCGAATGTGGAAAGATTTTGATGTTTTTTTTTTAAACAAATAAAAAAAGCTTAAAAATATTAATAATAAAAAGGAAATATGTGACATATTTGCACATTTACTTGTAAGACATAAATAATTCTACATGATATCCAGTAAAATATGAAGAAGAAAAAAAGAACAGGATACTCACACCAGTTTTGCTTATATACATTTTATTAGGCCACAGATACATTTGTAGAGGTTTATTTCAAGCACTGTTGTAAGCACACTGCAGTACTAGTCACCCATGATAACTAGGGAGGCTACTAATCAAACAAAAATTAGTCTCACAAATGAAATAAAAAGCTTAACACATCAAAGAGTAAAAACTATATTAGCCTGGTTTAGCACAGGTTATTCGCTTGTTTGCTCTGCTGTGTGCCTGTAATCAAGCAGGCTGAACAGCTCAGATGATTTATCATATAACACAAACTATGCATTGTTTTGACACTGTTGCAGTTAATTCTTCACATTGAAACTTCGTTATCTTTTCGAAATAGTGCACACTCTTCAACTCACTTTAATTGATTATTTTCATTTCCATTCGTTTGCGCGTTGTCTCAAGGACACGCCCACAATATGAGAAGCAATGAATATTAATGTGAACTCCACCCACTGGGACAGTTTTTCACAGGAACTGAATATTACACAACACCCTCAAGTTCACACAGGTGTCTAGCTGAGTAGCCACAGGTTCATCGCATTAACCGTGTTAGTATTGTCATGTCCACTTTTTAAGTTTTTTTTTTTTTCCAAAGATAAAATCTGCTAAAAAATATAGGTATTCTCAGGTTTTGGTGTTTGTGCTTATTTCCAGAATACATTTCTTTGTGTGTATTTGGGTTTATTTAGGCCACTTGTGGGCTTGTTTTGTCAGACTAGTTTTTCTTGTGATATCTGGCAACACAGGTTATTTATTTATTTGATCAAAATATTTGTGACTATAATTTCCAGTATTTTGATGAACATTTTTTGAAAAAAATATTTTTTATTATTAAGATTTACTATATATACACCATATTTACCAAATAGGCCTATTATGTATGACATTAAATTTACAATACATGACAGAAAAAAAGCAGAAAGTTGGTATATTCAAGTAGGCTACAAAATACTAAAGAAATGTAATAATCCAATGTAAACTAAAACCTCACATGTCTTCAGTTTATGAAATTAATAAACCGATATGACTGACAAATTATGCATGATCACTGCATAATGTGACTTTTTGTAATGTTTAGCTTGAAAAGTATGTTTGTGCTATCTTTCTTATACATTTTTTTTATTTGATATTATCCTATTGTTATTTTTGTATAATTGTTATCCAGTGACATTCATACATTTTAAATATGGCAAAGGACCAAAAATAAAATTAGTTAAACAATTCAAAGCGAATAAATTCAATTAATTTCCGTATCTATTGTAAATGTGTGGATTTAATTCTCTGGAGTACTTCATTCTGATTGGTCCATTGCTGAACTCAGCAGTTTATATTACTCGGATAGCATAAAAATGTCTAAATTATGATTTTTGTCTATGGCAACATTATTTAACAGACCATTCATCCGGGAAACCATGTTTCCTCTGCTGGTGTTCTGTCTCTAGAAAGACAGAACACTAATAAGTAAGTAAATACGTAATAAGTAAACCTATAACTCATGAAATCAACATTTCATTTCTATGTTTGTATGATCTACTTAGGAAGTGTGTAATAAATGGGATAATATACAGTCAGTATTGATCACCCCTGTTAGGGTTTGTTTTAAATCCCTTAAATATAGTGTGAATTAGACCTGTTTTTTAGAAAGCACTCCACAGTAGTAAAGTTTTGGTCATCAATACATAAGGAAACACATCTGTGTTTCATTTTCTCTTTCTTTTTTTTGTGTCTTTTTATAAGTTTTCTCATTTGTACCAGGAATTGCAACAAACGTCATAAGATACATATGCAGCAACAGTTTTGTTATGCACATCTGTTTCATTTCTTTTGCTCTATTTTTCAGGAGGTACAGAAAGCAGCTTCTCTGTTCTCCATGTACAGTGATTTGTCTTCCATGATCCCCAGTCTCATAGTGACCCTCCTCCTGGTGGCCTACAGCGATCAGCGTGGCCGAAAGATCACTATTATTATGCCCCTCATTGGGTCTCTGATCTATATGCTTTCATTCCTGGCGGTCTCCTTCTTCGAGCTCAACCTCTACCTTCTCATTGCCGCCAGTTTCGTAAGTGCCCTCTTTGGGGGTATCGGTACCATGCTAGGTGGCTGCTTCTCCTATGTGGCCGATTTGTGTGAGGACAGCAAGCAGAAGACCCTTCGCATGGCTGTGGTGGACATGATGATCGGCTTGTTGGCCGGTGTGGCGTCAATCTCCACGGGCTACTTCCTGCATGCAGTCGGGTTCCACTGGCCTTTCTTTATATCCGCCGTATTTCAGGCAGTTAACTTAATATACGCTGTCTTCATTCTGGAAGAAACCAGGGTGATTGACCGGTCAGAGACTGTGGCTTGTTGTCGGGCCATGCGGACACTAGCTTGTAGTATCTGCAACTTGTTTGTGGGAGGCAGCAGTCAAAGAAAATGGGTTCTTGTGCTGTTGATTGTCACATTCTCCTCCTTATCTTTTGTTAATACGGGGGGTCTGTCCATGATCACACTTTACGAGCTCAATGAGCCGCTGTGCTGGAGCGAGATCCTCATCGGCTATGGCGCCGCTGCCAGCACCTCCATCTTTATCACTAGTTTTGTCGGTGTGTATTTGTTCTCCCGCTGTCTGCCTAACATTGCCATCGCCTTCATCGGGATGCTGTCAGTCGCTATAAGCATGTTCATGACGGCCTTCGCAAAGACCACGCTCATGATGTTCCTCGGTGAGCATGAACATTCACAGTCATTTTAGAATTTTTTTTTTCTTATATTACTATTAATTTATAATAAATAGGGTACCACATTTACCATATTATATATATGACTCTAGATGTACAATAGTCATACATGACAGGAAAAATCTAGTTTTTTCAAATAGCAAAATTAATATAAATTTTTAGTTTTCTACATTATCCTAAATTCACTTGTTGTATTAAAAACAAGTTAGTTTAGATTATATTGTTCAGTTAATTCAGAAATTTTTTTAATATCCATTTTATTGATCAGCCATAACATGAAATAATTTATTGTACTGGCCAGAATTTTAATATTGGTGCATCCCAAATTTTTTTTTAAGAGGTTTGCCAATTTTAAAAAATAATAAATGAGTATTTAGCACCAAGAATTAAGGAAAAGAGAGAATAGATAAACATTCAACAATTAATAAATCACAATTACAATTTTTACAAACCATCAGAGTCAAATTACTTGTATATGTGGGTCTTCTCTTTGCTCTTAATATCTGTTGGGGTATATGGTGCACTGTATATTTTATTTTTTGGTGAAGATATAAAATTAATTATGAGCAAACAGCAGCTGTTCCTAGATTACAGCCACTGCACATCATCACGTTTTTATGTACTTATTATGTGTACAGTAATATTACAATAAAGTTTGCTCAATTAACTTCTTTGGAAACTGAACACGGCTGCACTGGTAATTGTACTAAAGGGTTATAAAAGTCATAGTGAGCTCTAAATTTGTAGACATGTAAAATAGGTGAAAATGTCTATAATTCTGGAGGCCTTGTTTGTTTAGTTAATGTGATTATTGATGTGTTTGTTACAGTGAGGATTCCTGCTATGTTTGCCATTATGCCATTCCCTGTCCTGCGTTCAATGATGTCAAAAGTCGTCTCAAAGTCTGAGCAGGGTGAGTGACTCTCTGAAAATCACTGTTCCAAAGCAAAACTCCTTATTCAGCAAGATGTTGGTCATAAGAGCTCTTCTCTGCTCAAGAGTGTTTTTGTGTGACTATGCACTGGAAAGGGATTTTTTAACATTTAAGGAAATATTATGTGAATGCTTTTTAAAAAAAATTAAAAGTAGTTTTGTTTGCACTTTCACCATGTATGTATGTATGTATGCATTCCTCCTTTTGAAGAGACAATCATATCAGACTTTTCTTTGTTTACCCTTTGTGTTTTCTCAGGAGCGCTTTTTGCCTGTCTGGCCTTTACAGAAAACCTGAGCACTTACGGGTCCTCTGCAGTTTTTAGCAGAATCTATGCGGCCACTGTGGCATGGTGTCCTGGCTTTATCTTCCTATTGGTTTCTGGACTCTGTATCATACCCATAAGTCTATTAGGGTAAGAGTTGCACTGAAACATAACCAGTTATTGATCTTTAGAATGCTGAAATGTCTAAACCGCGCATTTAAGTGCTGACTGTATTGCGGTTTGTGTATGAAAGAAGCACATTATAAATGAAATGCATTATTATTATTATATCAGATTAATGCGTTTTAGAGAGGCTTCATAAATAGGAATAAAAAAAATTATAATTTTATCTAAATAAATTAAAAATAAATAATTTAATTTCATCATATGAAAAATAGATTTGATGATATTTGAAAAAGATTATATTTAACAGTGTTATTAAATTATTAGTGTTTTTAAAGCAGAAACCTGTAGGTCTTAGAACCATTTATTCCAGATTTTAACTGACACGGTTCTGTGGTCTGTTTTGATTAATAGGCTAGTTCCTCATTTTTAAATTCCAGCTAAGGCTTACATTTCCTCTTTCCCTTTTTGCATCTGCTTGTATTTATTGTACATGAGTGTGTGTGGCTAAGAATGTTGATTCATTCTGACTTTGTGTCCCACTCCAGTATATTTAGGTGTTTCCATTCATTGGATTCTAATGACAATCAAGCACTCTTATCAGAAGATGGGACTGAAGCATCAGATGACCCACCTGTAGCTTAAAATCAAATCAAAGGGAGTTTGGATACCTCATGGTTACCCTGTGTGTTTCTTTACATTTCCTCATACCAACACAAGTCGCTGCCACGAAAAATGCATTTTTGCTGAAATGCAGTAGATGCTAATGGTGGTTTTGGAAGGGAACAGAACTTTATAGTTCTAAGGGGAAATTTTGTAAAAGAGTAAATATTTTTTTTAAATAACGATAAGAATAATTTCAGCAAAAACTAAATGTACACTTCCTTAAGAAAATAACGGTCACTTGCAAGGCAGCAACGAAACAGTATTAAAGTTTTAGGTGTGTTTAGGTTAGGCTTTGATTCTGTCATCTGCAAACAAGAATCAATACGTAGTTAATGTGAATGGTATCTATAAAAGACAAGACCAATCACAATTCAGTATGCAAATAGATGTAAGAAAGATGACCAATCCAATTCAGTATGCAAATATAACAAAGATATCATCACTGGTAATAGAAGTTGTTTAGAACTTTAGAAATTTAGGATTAAATATTGAAAATCATGGTTTGAATTGCGTCATTAAACTCTATTCAAATGGTAAACTAAACTAAAACCGAATTAATTCATTGTATGTACTAAATTAATTGCAGAAGTTTAAATACTAAGAGACTGAATGTTTGAGGAGTACGTTGCTGCCTTACAAGTCTAAAGTTTGGGCTGATGTACAATACATTCTTGTTTTGTATAGACCAACATTTACTGTAGATTTACTGTAAGATTTAGGATGCATCTTTATAGAGTTTTAAAGTTGGCTACGCTTTTCTAAGTTTGGCAGGTTTTCATTGGTCTCATATTTGTACAGATCTGGGTCATGAGCAATTCAGCCAATAAGCTCTGACCTGCCATTGACTGTCTGTCCTGTGTGGTGTAAATTTAATATACATTCTCATCTTGACAAAATCATGTCAAGATACATAAATTATAAATTAGCGTAGATCAGTTTACTTTGTTTGGAGGCTTAGCAGTGAAAAAGTGATTTTGGAGGACTGGGCACATCAGTCAGTTGATATTTGTATGTATCTGCCAGTACTTGTGCTCCTACACGCACAAACTACATTGTTTAGCACATATTTGCAATAGGAATGCATACTGAACTACTGAAAAAAAAGTAGTTAATCTCATTCATTCACAAAAACACACTTAAACCCAACTAAATTTGGTAAATTGTGTGCAGTTGTGATGTGTTGAATATGAATACATAAAGTTTCTATTATGAAATGTAATAATATAAAGGATTAATGTCTGTCAGCTTTACAGCCTATAAAACCTACTGATGTGTTATTTGAAACATATAAATTGTGCTTTCCAGACTTGGAAATGATCAGGTTCTAGCAATTATTATTATTATTTGCAAAATGTTGGTATTTAATAATAATAATAATAATAACAACAATCAGCTCATAATTCAGTTGCTTATTTAGCATCTGCTAAATGAATAAATATAAATTTACTAAATAGCTCTTTTTGAGTCCTGTTTAACATTTTATGTCAGGGGTGTCAAACTCAATTCCTGGAGGGCCGGAGCCCTGCAGAGTTTTGTTCCAACCCTGCTCCAACACACATACCATGGGTTCTGGCCCTCCAGGAATCGAGTTTGACACCCAGTTTTATTGGTAGATCACTGATTCTTAAAGTGTGGTAGGCGGGCTCCCTCTAGTGGTACGCAGAGGAATCACTGAATTAGGCCGCGTGTCCATCAAAGCGTTTAGACAGTGGGAAGTTCGCGTTTAGTTTGAGCAAACTCTGAGTTTTCGGGCTCAAGAAGGTGGGTTGGTTTTGAGCAAGCGGGTTTCGTCACAATGGTAACTTACGCTACACGGCTAGATCGCAAACCAAAGCTGGACCAATCAGCTCTGAGTAAAGTAACATATCCATCTTATTTTTCAATGCGAAAGTAAGCCGTTTTCTGTCAATGTGCGAGACCTCAGGTTCATTAACCGCTGTAGGGAAATAACGAGAAGAATAACGAAGTGCAGTAAACGGTTCGCAATACAAACCAGTGTGTTCATAATTAGGACAATCAATTAAAATAATATGATAAGACCAGTTTGAAATATCAAGCCGCTAAACGAGGTGTTTTGTACAGCTAAAAATAACCGGAAGCCAGACACAAATGGCCGCGGCCGCTCTTGCGGGAAAAATAAGGTGGATATGTCTGACGCAATAAAGTCACCCCCTTCATCTCTCACTACAAATGAAAGTTTATAGTGATACATTTTTAGAGACAAATCTTTTGCCGCTAATTGTTCATTATATTTATATATTTTAATTATGTATAATTCATATTTAATTCAATATATTCATATAATTAATTATTTCAGTTAACAATTAATATTAAACTTAGCATTGAAATGAATCAGTCAAACTGATGCTTTCCATGTTCCGTGTGATTGGCAGCTTGCCGCACACAACTCTGAGTTTGTTCATCTCTCTTCGTGCTACAGGCCACAGGTTAGGTCCACAAAGTAAGTTACCATGGTAAAGTCCCTTTAAACTGCTTTGGTGGACACACGGCATGATTGATACTTACAGCCTGTTCTTTTTTTTTTATCAAGTACTTTTTTACTTAAAAGTTAAATAAAAAAAAAACTACTGTTCTTAAATGTTAAGTACAATACATTTTCATTTAAGTACAGTTAAAAAAAACATTTAAGTACAGTAGTTTTTATGTAACTTGGGGACAATATATTTTAATTAAAATTTTTTGTTTTTATTTACCTGGATTTAAGCAAAGTGCAGTGTTAATGTTAAAACTGTGAATTTACAATGTCTATAGTGACCGACAATAATAAATATTCTTATTAGGAATAAAACTGCCTCGTTTTTAACTGTATGCATAGCTGTAGCTGAATAGTAGGCTAAGGCCTACTACCCTACTGTATTTTAATGTTGGTCATTATGGTGGTACTTGGAGAGCCAAATATTTTTTGAGGTGGTACTTGGTGTAAAAAGTTTGAAAACCACTGTGGTAAATAAATGTTTGTAGAGATGATTTTACACTACTGTTCTTAAATGTTAAGTACAATACATTTTCATTTAAGTACAGTTAAAAAAAACATTTAAGTACAGTAGTTTTTATGTAACTTGGGGACAATATATTTTAATTAAAATGTTTTGTTTTTATTTACCTGGATTTAAGCAAAGTGCAGTGTTAATGTTAAAACTGTGAATTTACAATGTCTATAGTGACCGACAATAATAAATATTCTTATTAGGAATAAAACTGCCTCGTTTTTAACTGTATGCATAGCTGTAGCTGAATAGTAGGCTAAGGCCTACTACCCTACTGTATTTTAATGTTGGTCATTATGGTGGTACTTGGAGAGCCAAATATTTTTTGAGGTGGTACTTGGTGTAAAAAGTTTGAAAACCACTGTGGTAAATAAATGTTTGTAGAGATGATTTTACATTGTGCGCTTTATCATTGTGGCCAGAAGGTGGCAGTATACATGCGCATATAAATATGACCGCACAGGAACGGCTTGGCACAGTTTTAAAAGTTACTGATCATTCGTTTTAGGGTTTTATTTTATTTATTTATTTATTTTTGTTTTTTTTCAATGAAAGTGAAGACAGGTAAGAGCTTTATATACACTCGTGATATATGATTGTATGTTCTAACTGACATTAACACTTACATTTGTAGTACAATGCGACTTTAAAGTTTAAAAACAATTTGCTTTCTAGGAAGTCACAAAGTACAAGTGAAATATATCATGCAATACAATTGTCCAAAAAAAAACAAACAAACTGTGTAAATACACAATGGAAATTAGAGGTGCCCAAAGAAAAATAGTGCTTTCCTGTGTATAAATGTAGAAATCTACTGACGTCTGTCCTGTCACACCTCCCTGTGGATTTGATTTCCAACCCCTGATGTGATGAGAGCCAGTGATCTGCAGCTCTTCATAATTGTGCAGTCAGAGTGTCTGCCTAGTGAAAGTATGATAAATCTGAAGTGTAGGGGCAGCGTGCTTCTCTGGTTTCCAAACTGAGGCTCCACACCGCTGACTCCACATGATCTACCTCACCACAGGCTGCCATCTCCCCCACACCCTCTGTTTATCTCCTTCTCTAATTTCTCTCTTTTAATCTATGTATTTCTCTTTTTGCTGTCTCCCCTTTCCATGCACTCCAACCCACACCATATACAGACACATTCTGTTTTATTTCATCTTTATTCAGATATGCAGGCACACACACACACACACGCCTGATTCACAACCCCCTGAACCGTTTGTGGTTGGCTAAGCCAGATAACACTCGCACCAACATGCCACCCAGGGATGAAACGCATCCACGCTCCTAACAAACAGTTGGACCCTTCTCTCAACGGACACATCTGGGGCTTGTTGGACACAGATGTTTTTGCAGGCCCACACTCCACGTTAGGGGTTACAGCCACATGCTGAACAGTTGGAGTCATATAAGGTAATGCGAAACTTGTTTGCAAGCAATAACTTAAAGGGATAGTTCATCCAGAAATAAAAATGTTCTGGTGATTGAAGGGCCCCTCAAGGGGTAAAGCCCAGGGGCCTCTTACAGTCCTAATGTGGCCCTGAACACCAGTACCCAGTTTTTTGCTATTTTATTTATGTACTTTTTTAATCTTATATTTGACAGGATAATAGAGAAACAAGAGTAAAGGCTGTAAGTTATAGCAATGCACTAGTGTATCTTCTTGTGAGAAGGAATATAGTATTTTAACAATAACAAAATAACTAATATGCAACTCGGTTAATGCTCAGTTAAGTAGAAGAAAAGTCAAGCAACAATGAGTAAACCCAGAGAAGACAAACTGATATTGCAGAGTGGTGTGTGCATGGAGCTAATAGTCTGTCGGATTTTTCAGCCACATCCCTCTTGAGCACTTCACATGCTCTGCTGGCCAAAAGATTTTGTAAATTCATATTCTGAATAATGACTAGATAACTGCTGTAGCGTGTTTACAGTATTTTACAATTATGATATAAATCCTGCCATTGGCTGGCTTCATCCACAACACCCAGATCATAACAGGACAGGTATGGAGAGTGTCTCAGGTCACTGAGAGTGTGCCAGCGCAAACCACGGTGAAAATCTCCCCTGCTCAGAGACCGATATGAGAAGAATGCGGTTAAAACCTCTTTGGTTTGAACGTTAGCCAGCAGAATGAATTTTGGATGCTGTGGTACACTCGTATATTATGTGTCTGTTGAACATGTATAAAATATTTTTGTAATATTTTGTATATAAAAATTACAACTAATATTTTATATACTTCTAATATTTGTATATAAACATTTTTAATGAAAAAAAAATAGATTGAATTTTTATGTTGTAAACGAGATTATGTTGTTGACCAGATTTAATATAAATTATATTAATTAATATATAAATGATTAATTACGATAATTAATAAACAATGATGTAAGTGAATGACAGTTTTCTTCATGTTGAACCTCAAAAGCACTGGCATTGTTTCCATTGCTTTTGCATCATCTCACTTGGAGTCCTTTTCTCTTTGTTTCCCCTGAAATGTCAAAACATTGTTTTTGTTCGCCTGTCGCTATGTACTGTTTGCTCTCCCCATGTAATTTCTTACAGGCTTGTTTGTATTTAGCTGACGCTCTAGCAGTGGGTGAACGCTTTGTGCCTCACCCATAATTACAATGTTTCAATGCCCTGCAGCTTGGCTCTGTGGGAGGGTAAGCTTCACTTACTAGTGCCACTGAACTCACTATATCACTGCAAAGGCAGAGACGGATACTACGTCTGTCTAATAATTGTGTAATTGTATGTTTTCAGTATACATCTGTTGCATTGTAGCTAGTGGTTTCTCTTTCTTAATTGCAAGATGCTGTCATTTCATATAATATTAGCTTATTAACAGCATGAGCATATACATTGTACTACCATTCAAAAGTTTGGGGTCAGCAAGTAAAAAAATAAAATAAAAATAAATTAATACATCTATTCAGCAAGGATGCATTCAATTGATCAAAGTTGAGAGAAACTTTTATAATGTCACTAAAGATTTCTATTTCAAGTAAACGTTGTTCTATTTATCAAAGAATCACGGTTTTCACAAAAATATGAAGTGACAACTCTTTTCAAAATTGATAATAATAATAAGAAATATTTCTTGAACACCAAATTGTTATATTAAAATGATTTCTGAAGGATCATGTGACACTGAAGACTGGAGTATTGATGTTGAAAATTCAGCATTGCCATCACAGGAATAAATTACATTTTACAATATATTAAAATAGAAAACAGTTCTTTTAATTGTAATAATATTTCACCGTAATAAATGCAGAGATTCCTTTCAAAAATGTTTAAAAATCTTACAGACCTTATGTCATCATTTCTCCTTTTGTGTTCATGGAAGAAAGAAAGTCATACAGGTTTGTAACAACATGAGGGTAAAGAATAAATGATGAGAGAATTTCCATTTTTGGTGAACGATCCCTTAACCTAACCATTTTGCTCATATTTTATTCATGCAGCTCATGTTTCGATGACAGCAAGCTCACCATAAAAACCAGCACCATATTACATTGCCAGGATATGTGGAGAGCCCTGTTCCTTCCTTCTGTCTCCCATCTCCCTCTGACCACATTGCTGTTACAAATTGACAGGCTATTTATTTTCTCTCAAATATAGATTAAAACACCGCATTTCAAACCACAGGGCAAGTCCTCCATAGGCCCGTTTGTCTCTTCCACTCAAACCCAATCTGAGGCATCTCAAGGCCAGTCCACCTCTGCCGTTCTGCCCCAGGAGGGGTGAGTCTCACATGGAGCTCAGGTCTGTCCAGACACAGCTGCTTCATCTCCACTGACAGGGAACTTTGTGCTGTCGATCTAGTCCTTTTTATATTGTGGTGAAGGAATCTATCCAAGGAAACCTTTCATGTTTCGAAAGCATTACTTTGTGGTTTATATTTATAGGAGACTGATTAAATGATTTTTATGTGCTATACAGGAAGATATACATTTCAAATTTGAATCATAAGCAATGCAGAAGTGCAGGATGGAAAAGCAAATAGAAAGGAATATCTGTGGTATTTATAATTAGAAATCAATTAGATTCAATGAAACTAATCTACTCTGCAGTGCTGATTATATGTGCTATATGTTTAGATCTGAAATAGTATGATTCACAGCATCCTCTTCATGCACAACAGTCATCGAAAGGTTAGTGTGTCAGTCAATAACTGTTTAATTCTTGTCTGTGTCTGTGATTACCTGCTGCATCCACACAGTTCAGTTCATGCTCAACTGCAGGCCATTTCATTGTCTATTGATTTCTGCTTATCTGTAGCAGTGGGGGACTGCAGTACAATCCTCAGCTCATGAGAGCATTAAAAGCTTCTGCGGTTTCCCTTGCAAATGTCTACTTGGATTTAAAAAAACATTTTAATTTATGTCAGTTAGTAATAATAGCAATATTGGCCATAACATATTGGCCAAATAGTATGTATATATATATATACTGTATGTGTGTGTGTGTGTGTGTGTGGGGGGGGGGGGGGGGGG